GTAATGTGAAGCGCTTAGAGGCATTGTGCATGAAGCGCTATATAAGAGCGACATATTATTATTATTATTATTAATAGAATGAATATTAAAAAATTAATGTCAACATCAGTTCTAAATTTCAGTTTGCAACTTCTTCATCTATTATTTATTTTACAATGATCTCAGAAAAGATCAAGACTTAACTGATGTTAACTGGAGCACAGTGTCTTGTCTACAATATTGTCGGGCGCATAGAGACCTCGTTTATTTGCGCTATAAATGTTATTATTATTATTATTATTATTATTATTTTTAATATTATTATTATTATTTGAAAAATAGCTCTTCTGTGTTGGTGTTCGAATGTAATAAAAGTTTAAACTTTTGATAACAACAAAAAAAACAAATATCACGGTTTATGTGAGTAAAATTTTAAATGTTTTTTTTTTTTTTATTATTGAAATTCTTGAAAATTTATGATAGGATTATTGTACTTTGGTTTCCATTAACTGTTTTAACCAATGCAATTACAATAAGTTAATTAATTTTGTCTTGGGATTTTTGTTTCAGCACAAAACCAATGTGATTTTGAGGATCCACACATCTGTTACTTTGTACAAGATGAAAATGATGATTTGGATTGGATAAGAACATCTGGATCAACATACATATATGATGCTGGTCCTGCATATGACCACACCTACGGAACATTACAAGGTATTAAAAAGCTGACATGAATTTAAATTTCTAAATAAAATTTGTAAATTCTTAATGAAAATATTTCTAAAACTAAAAACGAAATAAAATAAGATAAACGAAAAAGAGATAGAACAACAATATCTCTTAAACCAAAACATTTATTTCATCATTTGCCTATAGGTTCCTACATGTACGTCGAAGATTCATATGGGCGATACAACAAAAAAGCTCGTCTTTGGACAACATCGTATCCTGCAACAAATGGCACATGCATCAAGTGGTTTTACCACATGTACGGGGAAACTGTGAACACATTGAACACATTGAATGTGTACATAGTCAATACAGAAAGTACTGTTGGTGCACCTGCGTGGGTAAATAGCAACAATCAAGGAAACTTCTGGCGACTTGGAAAGCTGTCAGTTGAAACAAAGAGTGCCTTCCAGATAGTGTTTGAAGGAATTGTAGGAAGTGTTTATTACAGTGATATTGCTTTAGATGACGTCAGGATCATTGATGGGGCATGTTTGAGAAACGGTAAAATACACTTTAATAAATATTATTTTCGCCACTAGCCCTTTCGTCTCTCTGCTTTCACCACCCACGCCCTATAATAACAGTCTGTGAAAAATAAGGGGGTAACTTAAATAAGTAATTTTAATATATATCCCCCACAGACTTTCTTACAAATGACTGAAACACTCGCACAGAGTGCAGCTGTAGAAAAGCTAGGAAAGCTATAGTCTCAACTTTAAAATTAAGGGGAATCATTGCTGTAAAAATGGCTTTCCTCACACTCAAAGATCATAAATATCACCAGCAAAGCTTGTGAACTCATCCAATACTGCAGATAAACAACAAACTTCAAAAAAGTATCTAGGTGTAGTGCGATAAACTCATACACAAAAAACATCACTACGTCATATTATAAAAGAGTAGAAAATAAGGCAGCACCCACAAAATTAACAACGCAACCAAATCAATTGTTACAAAGCTTGAAATTGGAACCCAATAGAAACCAGCATTGATGACGAAAGCTTTCATAACATTCAAAGACCATTACGAAAACATTTTACATAAACCAAACTGTAGACTCTTAAAACCCATCAAAAATCATAGGCAAGACCGAATAAACCATGACCGGCTCACAAAAACACAATAAACAAATGGAAAAACACCATTTCTGTCACTGAACACATCCAGCACAAACCAAAAAGTCCATCTCTTTTCAAATTTGTGCAACTCTAATTATCTATCACAAATATTGTTAACGGACGATATCTAGTAGGCACGAAAGCACACCGGAATCTCTGAAGACAAAGCAGATATTATTTACTCAACATTGACTTAGAAAAATTCAAACGACATGTTTAACATTACTGTAGGATGTTACGGCGGGGATAAAATATGTTAATATGTCGTATCCTTTTTTCTCTAATTACTTACCCTAAAACTTGGAAAAACCAATATCTGTTTTTGAATAATTGCACTTATCATTTCGGAGTCTCTACCCTACTTAGACGTTGAACTTTCTAGTAGTAAATGCGTACCTTGTAGGATGGTATGGCATAATATAAATGTATGGGTCGTGTGCGTTCAACTTTATATTCAATTTCTAATTGAAGAAACTTGCGATATTGACTGCTTGAACGGCGGAGTCTGTGTCTCGGATTACGGAATCGAGAACTGTCAGTGTATGCCTGGTTTTCTTGGACCAACTTGCAATATATGTAAGTTTTTACAGCGATAATTAATGTGCATTACGTATTGAGCTAAATATAATAATAATAAACCTAATGTGCAGAACATGGATAAAAATGTATACAACATGACCAGTTTCTGAAAAGATTGTAAATATTATGCATAAGTGTAGGCTAATAGAATGAAAAATATTTAAAAAATAATGTCAACATCAGTACTAAGTTTCAGTTTGCAACTGAGATAATGTATATATCTCTTCTACATCTATTATTTATTTTACTATAATGATCTCAGATCACTTTGGTTTCCAGTAACTGTTTTAACAAATGCAATTACAATCAGTTAATTAATTTTGCTTGGGATTTGTGTTTTAGCACAATACCAATGTGATTTCGAAGATCCACATATCTGTTACTTTGAACAAGATAAATATGATGATTTTGATTGGAGAAGAAAATCTGGATCAACATACACATTAAATACTGGCCCTACATATGACCACACCTACGGAACATTACAAGGTATTAAAAAGCTGACATAAATTTAAATTTCCTAAATGAAATTGTAAATTCTTAATGAAAATATTTCTAAAACTACAAACGAAATAAATAAAATAAACTACAAAGAGGTAGAACAACAATAACTCTTAAACTAAAACATTTATTTTATCATTTGCCTACAGGTTCCTATATGTACATCACATATTCGGGATACAACAACAAAAAAGCTCGTCTTTGGACATTGTCATATCCCGCAACAAACGGCACATGCGTCAAGTGGTTTTACCACATGTACGGAGCCACAGTGAACACATTGAATGTGTACATAGTCAATACAGAAGGTACCATTGGTGCACCTGCGTGGACAAATAGAAACAATCAAGGAAACATTTGGCGACTTGGAAAACTGTCAGTTGAAACAAAGACTTCCTTCCAGATAGTGTTTGAAGGAATTACAGGAAGTGGTAATACAGGAGATATTGCTTTAGACGACGTCAGGATCATCGATGGGGCATGTTTGAGAAACAGTAAAATACACTTTAATAAATATTATTTTCGCCACTAGCCCTTTCGTCTCTGCTTTCACCACATACGCCCTATAATAACAGTCTGTGAAAAATAAGGGGGTAACTTAAATAAGTAATTTTAATATATATCCCCCACGGACTTTCTTACAAATGACTGAAACACTCACACAGAGTGCAGCTTTAGAAAAGCTAGGAAAGCTTTTAGTCTCAACTTTAAAATTAAGGGGAAACATTGCTGTAAAAATGGCTTTCCTCACACTCAAAGATCATAAATATCATCAGCAAAGCATGAGAACTCATCCAATACTGCAGATAAACAACAATTTTCTAAAAGTGAACTCATCCAATACTGCAGATAAACAACAAACTTCTAAAAGTAACTAGGTTTAGTGCGATAAACTCATACACAAAAACATCACTACGTCATATTATTAAAGAAGAGAAATTAGGGCATCACCCACAAAATTAACAACGCAACCAAATCAATTGTTACAAAGCTTGAAATTGGAACCAAATAGAAACCTGCATTGATGACGAAAGCTTTCATAACATTCAAAGACCATTACGAAAACTTTTTACATAAACCAAACTGTGGACTCTTTAAGAAACCCATCAAAAATCATAGGCAAGACCAAATAAACGATGACCGGCTCACAAAAACACAATAAACAAATAGAAAAACACCATTTCTGTCACTGAATGATTTAAACCCATCCAGCACAAACCAAAAAGTCCATCTCTTTTCAAATTTGTGGAACTCTAATTATCTATCACAAATATTGTTAACGGACGATATCTAGTAGGCACGAAAGCACACCGGAATCTCTGAAGACAAAGCAGATATTATTTACTCAACATTGACTTAGAAAAATTCAAACGACATGTTTAACATTACTGTAGGATGTTACGACGGGGATAAAATATGTTAATATGTCGGATACTTTGTTCTCTAATTACTTACCCTAAAACTTGGAAAAACCAATATGTTTTTGAATAATTGCACTTATCATTTCGGAGTCTCTACCCTACTTAGATGTTGAACTTTCTAGTAGTAAATGAGTACCTTGTTGTAGGATGGTATGGCACAAGATAAATCTATGGGTCGTGTGCGTTCAAGCAGCAATGACAGGAATACTCTCCAGGGAGCAGAAAAGTTGCACAATGTGCGGATGTGCTACTTCAGTATCCAGTAACCAGGGAAATAAATATACTTCCCCGAAATCTTTAATGCACTTCTCATCCTTCATTTTTATGATGTTTAGCGTTTGGCTGCTTCATGCTTTGAGTGTTGTAATTTCTTATAGTTGGTATAGGCATGGTATAGCAGGTATATGCTATATAAATATATATTATTTCTACGTATGTACATTATATTATGTTCCTTGATTTCTCAACTGTATTTAATAGTCATCATATCATGCGTTATATAATTTAAACATATAATTATAGAATTACTATTATATTCCTACATTAATTTTCTATTCCACAATTGTTTAAATTATATAGGACCTTATATAAATCTCACTGTATTTTATTTCCTGTTTAATTTCAGTATTGTGTACTGTAGTTTAGTCACTAGCAATTAAGTCTTTGTATTAAGCTGGCTCAAAAGCACGCTAATATTCTATCGCTTACATATTCAATGTATAACAATAATAATTTTATACAATTAGTATTGTGATGGGCGATGAGGTTATTTTAATACGAACAATGTATGTCACTAATTAATATTCAGTTTCTAATTGAAGAAACTTGCGATATTGACTGCTTGATAGGAACAGAGTATGTCTCTAATTAATATGCAATTTCTAATTGAAGAAACTTGCGTTATTGATTGCTTGAACGGCGGAGTCTGTGTCTCGGATTACGGAAACTGTCAGTGTATGCCTGGTTTTGTTGGACCAACGTGCAATATATGTAAGTTTTTACAGCGATAATTAATGTGCATTACGTATTGAGCTAAATATAATAATAATAAACCTAATGTGCAGAACATGGTTAAAAATGTATACAACATGTTCAGTTTCTGAAAAGATTGTAAATATTATGCATAAATGTAGGCTAATAGAATGAATATTGAAAAATTAATGTCAACATCAGTACTAAGTTTCAGTTTGCAACTGAGATAATGTATATATCTCTTCTACATCTATTATTTATTTTACTATAATGATCTCAGCAAAGATCAAGACTTAACTGATGCTAACTGGAGCATAGTACATAAACACAGATCTCCAGTTACCGGTGATGGTATAACCCCATACTTCGGTTTGGGTGCTTCTAGGTGTTTATTGATTTTTTTTTTTGTCTTTTTTATTGTTTCTTTTCTACAAAATTGTCGGGCGAATAGAGACCTCGTTTATTTGCGCTATAAATGTTGTTATTATTATTATTATTATTATTATTATTATTATTCGAAAAATAGCTCATCTGTGTTGGTGTTCGAATGTAATAAAAGTTTAAACTTTTGATCACAAACAAATTTCATGGTAAGGAAATTTGTGTTGTGATCGAAAGTTTAAACTTTTATTATTATTGTTAATATTATTATTATTAATATTATTATTTTTATTATTATTATTAAACGAAAAATAGTTTAGAGACAAAACATTCGGAAAGGAAATTTATTATCTAACCATTTTAAGTTTACATAAGTAATCTTGCATTATTCAATGACATGTTTCATTGACCTTACAATCTTTGGCTATGTCCTGTAAAAAATGGAAAAATAATAATATTATTGTAGTCAGAAAAGAAGGTATTAAAAGTAAAATGGAATTAAAAATAAAATGTAATTGAAATTGTAAATCCTTAAGGTATTTGAGTGTTGTCTTTAGTTCAAATGAGAAATTGCAGTAACCAGTAATACAATTTTTAAGAAACTAATTAAGTAATGTAAAATTTAAAGTTTTAAAACAAAAATGTTTTTGGTAATTTATACCATTAACATTATGAAACAATGTGTTGTGGATACCGGTTTGACTTTATGTGAGTAAAATTTGGAATGTGTTTTTTTATTTTTTTATTGAAATTCTTGAAAATTTATGATAAGATGTTTTCCTAACAAAGTTACGGATTATTGTACTTTGGTTTCCAGTAACTGTTTTAACAAATACAATTACATTCAGTCAATTAATTTTGTCTTGGGATTTGTGTTTTAGCACAATACCAATGTGATTTCGAAGATCCACACATCTGTTACTTTGAACAAGATAAATATGATGATTTTGATTGGAGAAGAAGATCTGGATCAACATACACATTAAGTACTGGCCCTACGTATGACCACACCTACGGAACATCACAAGGTATTAAAAAGCTGACATGAATTTAAATTTCCTAAATGAAATTGTAAGTTCTTAATGAAAATATTTCTAAAACTACAAACGAAATAAATAAAATAAACTACAAAGAGATAGAACAATATTATTTTATCATTTGCCTACAGGTTCCTACATGTACATCGAAACTTCATATCAGCGATACAACCAAACCGCTCGTCTTTGGACATTGTCATATCCTGCAACAAACGGCACATGCATCAAGTGGTTTTACCACATGTACGGGGCCACAGTGAACACATTGAATGTGTACCTAGTTAATGCAGAAGGTACCGTTGGTGCACCTGCGTGGACAAATAGAAACAATCAAGGAAACATTTGGCGACTTGGAAAGCTGTCAGTTGAAACAAAGAGTGCCTTCCAGATAGTGTTTGAAGGAATTGTAGGAAGTAGTAATACAGGAGATATTGCTTTAGACGACGTCAGGATCATCGATGGGGCATGTTTGAGAAACGGTAAAATACACTTTCATAAATATTATTTTTGCCACTAACCCTTTTGTCTCTGCTTTCACCACATACACCCTATAATAACAGTCTGTGAAAAATAATGGGGGTAACTTAAATAAGTAATTTTAATATATATACACAGACTTTTAAAAAAAAGACTGAAATGCTCACACAGATTGGAGCTGTAGAAAAGCTAGGAAAGCTTATAGTCTCAACTTCAAAAGCATGGGAAACATTGCTGCAAAAAAAAAGGCGTTCCTCATGCTCAAAGATCGTAAATATCACAAGCAAAGCAAATGAACTCATTCAACACTGCTGATAAACAACAAACTTCTAAAATGTAACTGGGTTTGGTGCGATAAACTCATACACGAAAACATCACTACGTCATATAAAAGAAAATAAAAGAAGGCAGCACCCACAAAATTAACGCAACCAAATCAATTACTACAAAGCTTGAAATTGGAACCAAATAGAAACCATTGATAAAGAAAGCTTTCATAACATTCAAAGACCATAACGATAACTTTTTACAAAAACCAAACTGTAGACTCTTAAACCCATCAAAAATCACAGGCAAAACTATTCTCGACTGGATAAACCATGACCTGCTCATAAAAACACAAATATACAAATGGAAAAATGCCATTTCTGTCACTGAATGATTTAAACCCATCCAGCACAAACCAAGAAGTCTATCTCTTTTAACATGGTGGAATTCTAATTGTCTATCACAAATATTGTTAACAGACGATATCTAGTACGAACTAAAGCACACCGAAATCTCTGAAGACAAAGCAGATATTATTATTTACTCAACATCGACTAAGAAAAATTCAGACGACATGTTTGACATTACTGTGGGAAGTTACGGTGGGGATAAAATATGTTAATATATCGGATCCTTTTTTTTTTTCTAATTACTTACCCTAAAACTTGGCAAAACCAATTGTGTTTTTGAATAATTGCACTTAACATTTCGGAGTCTATACCCTACTTATAGGCATTGAACTTTCTAGTAGTGAGTACCTTGTAGGATGGTATGGCATATAAATGTATGGTAGTGCGTGTTCAAGCAGCAATGACCAGGGATACTCCCCAGGGAGCAGAAAAAGTTGCACACTGTGCAGATCTGCCAATTCAGTATCCAGTAACCCAGGAAATAATGGTCAATGGTCAATGGTCGTATATTTATATAGCGCCTTCCACAGAAAACCGTCTCAAGGCGCTTTTGAAGCCACAATAAACAAAGACAAAAGAACGCGAAGGGGGAGTACATTAGGTTTATTTATAGACCTTGCCGATCTCGGACACCAGTCTTTGATCCAACTTACTTAGCCGTGGGCTCAGCTAATTCTGTAAGTTTTCGAGCATCTTAAAGTATTGTGTTTTACCGTATATAATACTAAGCTATTGTGTTTCCTATTCTCTGTGCTTTGCATGTAACAATATGTATATGTATAGATATATGTATAATGTATGTGTGTGTATATATATATATATATACACATATATATATACACACACATATATACACATATATATATATATATATATATATAGATATTGTATATAGCCTTCATACGCAACAATTCACTATGAATAAAGTATCTAATTATATATGCTATATAAATATATATTATTTCTACGTATGGACATTATATTACGTTTCATGATTTCTAAACTGTATTTAATAGTCATCATATCATGCGTTATACAATTTAAACACATACATATAGAACTACAGTACTATTATATTCCTACATCAGTTTCTATTCCACAATTGTTTAAATTATATAGGACCTTATAATTCTGACTGTATTTTATTTCCTGTTTAATTATTTTTAATATTCTATTGCTTACATAATCAATGTATATCAATCAATGTATTATAAAGACAAATGCGATTTTCATAATAATTTTATACAATTAGTATTGTGATGAGCGATGAGGTTATTCTAATACGAACAAAGTATTTCACTATATTAATATTCAATTTCTAATTGAAAAAACATGCGATATTGAATGCTTGAACGGCGGCGTCTGTGTCTCGGATTACGGAATCGAGAACTATCAGTGCATGTCTGGTTTTTTTGGACCAACTTACAATATATGTAAGTTTTTACAGCGATAAATGTGCATTACATATTGAGCTAAATATAATACTAAACCTAGTGTGCAGAACATGGTTAAAAATGTATACAACATGATCAGTTTCTGAAAAGATTGTAAATATTATGCATAAATGTAGGCTAATAGAATGAATATTAAAAAATTAATGTCAACATCAGTACTAATCACTATCAGTACTAAGTTTCAGTTTGCAACTGAGATAATGTATATATCTCTTCTTCATCCATTATTTATTTTACTAATGATCCAAGAAAAAATGAAGACTTAACCGATGCTAACTGGAGTACATAAACACAGATCTCCAGATGCAAATGGTATAACCCCATACTTCGGTTTGGGTGCTAGCTAGGTGTTTATTGATTTTTTTTTTCTTTTTTTATTGTTTCTTTTCTACAATATTGTTGGGCACATAGACACCTTGTTTATTTATGCTATAAAAATTTATTATTATTATTATTATTTATTATTATTATTATTATTAAACGAAAAATAGTATAGAGACAACATTTGAAAAGGGGATTTGTTATCTAACCATTTTAACTTTACATAAGTAATCTTGCATTATTCAATGACATGGTTCATTGACCTTAAAAGCTTTGGCTATGTGCTGTAAAAAAATGGAAAAGATATTAATATTATTGTAGCGAGAAAAGAAGGTATTTAAATATACAGTAATGGAATTAAAAATAAAGTGTAATTGAAATTGTAAATCTTTAAGGTATTTAGGTGTCATCTTTAGTTCAAACAAGAAAATGAATGAACCAATAATACAATTTTTAAGAAGCTAATTAAGTAATGTAATATTTAAAGATTCAAAACAAAAACGTTTTTGGTAATATACCATTAACATTATGGAACAATGTGTTGTGTTTGACTTTATGCGAGTGAAATTTGAAATGTGTATTTTTTTTAAATTATTGAAATTCTTGCAAATTTATGATGATAAGATGTTTTTCTAACAAAGTTACGAATTATTGTACTTGTACTGGTTTCCAGTAACTGTTTTAACCAATGCAATTACAATCAGTTAATTAATTTTGTCTTGGGATTTTTGTTTCAGCACAAAACCAATGTGATTTCGAAGATCCATACATCTGTTACTTTGAACAAGATGAATATGATGATTTTGATTGGATAAGAACATCTGGATCAACACCCACATATGGTACTGGCCCTGCGTATGACCACACATACGGAACATCAGAAGGTAACACAAAGTTCATATTTTTCATTTAGTTTTGACCTAGGAAAACCTTTGCTAAAAAGTTACACTTTCTCCATCAAAAGGCTTCTTCTATGAATGGAATGACCTGTTCGAAGCACGAACTCCTGTAGATTAAACCCAGTACCGTTACGATTTTTAATCGTACGGGAAATCCACTCACGATGCATTATAGGCCATTTGGCCAACATAGAACTCGGGTGCTAGACTGTGACCTTCAGGCATTTTCCCATTCAAAATCTATACCCTACCACTAACAAATATTTTCCTATTTCTCAAACCTAACTACTATGCTATATTAAACCAAACTACTGTCTTATTTCTTACTATCATATATTATGTACACATAAATAAATTCTAATATTATAATATTTTTAATTAATTTATCAAGTAATTTACCAGTAGATAATGAATTAATAAATAAATTCTAATATTTTAATATTTTTAATTAATTTATCAAGTATTTTAGATAATGAATTATTAAATAAGCGATTAAAAAACAAAATTATTTTTATACATTAAAAATTCACGTAGGCCTAATTTTCAAACGTTTCAATAAGTAGATGTTGATGGATATGCGTACATCGATACACAACAATGCGTAAAAATACAGAACAAAATTATACGCGTTATCTACACGCGTAAATTTTTCAAACAGACGGAAAAGAACGTTCATCATCATAGCATAACAAACAACAAAACCACATACACATAACAGCGATGCACTAGACATGATTATGTTCATACGATCATAATGTACATTTATACGTACTTTTCCAGGTAAGACGTTTGTTTTCTAAACAATAATTATTCTTTATTTCATATAAAGAGATTTTGGAAATCACTTAAGGTCCAATTTGATTTCGAATTATGAAAAGTGTAGGCTGCGGCACCGAGACCTCTGACGATTATTGACCAAAATTGTTTACAAAAACGTAATGCAATAATAGCATATTGACTACTATTCTATATTTTCGGAAATATTTCAGCCGCTCCAAATCTCTTTCCTATTCTTCCTTCTTCCTTTATTTTTTCACAATTTTACGTTTTATGGAAAACACTCACATGTTATAGTCACTCGTTTAGGCCTAGACCTCGACTATGTCTATTATATTATTTAAAATATACAATTTTAATTGATAAGATTATTTTTTACATGAACTAATAATTCATACTTAAACAATACATTAATTTTAAATGTATATATAAATGACATAACAAATAACTAACAATAATTAAACGTGTACATAGTATCTATCACTACTACTAGGCCTAGTAGTACAATAACAAGATTAATATTTTACTATCTTATAATCAATTTTATATAGCCGGAGTTAGTTTCGACCTAGGCAAACCTTTGCTAAAAAGGTACACTTTCTCCATCAAAAGGCTTCTTCTATGAATGGAATGACCTGTTCGAAGCACGAACTCCTGTAGACCAAACCCAGTACGATTTTTAATCGTACGGGAAATCCACTCACGATGTAAATCAATGTCTTTGAAAATCGAAAAATTTATTTGATCATTTGCTTACAGGTTTTTACATATACATAGAAGCTTCAGATAAAAACCTCAATGACACTGCTCGCATTTGGACTACTTTTTATCCAGCAACGAACGGCACATGCATCCAGTGGTACTACCACATGTACGGGGAAACAGTGAACACACTGAATGTGTATATAGTCAATACAACAAGTACCGTTGGCACAATTGCGTGGACAAAAAGAAACAACCAAGGGAACCTTTGGCAACTTGGACAAATCTCAGTTGAAATAAACAGTACCTTCAAGATAATCTTTGAAGGCATTGTAGGAAGTAGTTTTTCTGGTGATATTGCTTTAGATGACATCATGATCACCGATGGAATATGTTCAACAAATGGTAAAATCACTTTCATCTTTACAACAACACTACAATAAAAATGTTGTTACCCCTTTTATCACCAGACCAGACATTTTACATCTGGCTTTTACCACCATTGCCTTTTGACACCTGCGTTTTACCATCACACACGATACCATCTAAGGTCTGATGCCACGACCCGTTTTATTTCTTAGACCGTTTCGTCTATAGATCCATTACACTTGGTTTTTTGCTGAATTCAAGCATGGTATACAAATTTCGAATGTCATGGCATTTCCAGTTATTTTTGTATCATTTATAATTTAAACCAATTATAAATAATATATGCCCTGCAAAATTTGGGGCTGAATTCAAGTATGGATATAAAAGTATGCTTAGTAACAAGGGTCAATGTCGAAAAGGTTATTTCTGGTAAATTTGGGGTAAGATTATGCCAGACAAATAGGGCCAAGGGTAAAAAATGCATTTTTCCAGTCAATTTATTAATATATATAGATTTTATTAAATTTAAACAATCTTTATAGAGGGTGACCCTTCTAGCTAGGCTTTTAATAAACTGTCGCATTAGAGAGAATATCAACGTATGGATCTTCTGAGTATTTCGATCATAATGATGATAAATTTATCAACAAAGACTGGTTATACGGGCCAACAAAACATCTGCCTTATTTTAGGGAGTGGTCTACATGGGCACTCTTTTCTATAATTTCCTGAGCCTCATTCAAGTCACAATTATGATCTTCCAAATTAATAACTTAAGATTTGTTTCGCTCTTAAATTATTATTTGGTTGAGTCACACTATCTGGGATGTCCAAATTATGGTCAGGTTTATTTTACATATTATGACAGACTTCGAAACGGGCTTGGAACATTCTTTTGCAGAGCATTTGATAGATTTCCACGTTTGACGTACGAAAACGGGTCAATATGAAATAATTTCCTATGGAGCATATTTTTTCTGGCGCGGCGCGATCATCCGCCTCTTTCACTTTATAACGTTTAGTCTTGGAACTGCATGTATAAATTCGGCATGCCTTGGACCAATGATATTCCGACATTCATTATTTTTATTTAATTGCTACAACTCTAACGTTTTCAACGTGTATTCATACAGGGGAAAGTCTGTAGTTGGTTCCGAGTTAAATCCGGTGTCCCTCAAGTCTTGGTAGTCTCTAATTCCACGGTCACAATCGCCTCTTGTATAATGTAAACTCATTAGCTGTCGCACTACACTGAGTTCGGTCATGAATATTTATAATCAACTTAAAATTCTCGGCAAGCGCGGTGCCAGTGTAGTCAGTGGCGGCGCCAGGACGGGCGCAGGGGCTTAAGGCCCCCCTCTTCGGCCAAAGCTCGTCGGACAGTTGGACCGAAAAAAAAATAGGCCTAGTTTTCCTATCCCAGCAATTTCCGGCCATAAAGCCCTAATTTTTTTATTTTTTTTAAATCTCGTTTTGGGAGGAGGGTACACCCACTCCCGGCTCTGGCTTCAGGCCCTCAGATAACTCCTTTTCGTAATTGTACAATTAATGTTTGTTTAATGCCTACAGTATTAATTTTTACTGTGTCAATTTATGGTGCAAATACACATGTAAATCGTTTATTCAATTAAATTTTGCTACAACAATGCGTTGCGGTTATTGTTGAACAAACCTAGAGCATGCAGTGCTGTGAAATATTTCCAACTCTCTTCCCAGTTCTAGCAAATTCATTAGAAAATCTGTCTATAGTTTTATTGAGAGGGAAAGAAATTGTGAGAATACATTAGTGAAGTGATCACATTCTCAAGGACAGCAGTTTGTATGTAAAATGGTTGTCCCTACTGAATACATAAACGCAAGTTTGAATTGTGTGCTTGAGAAGTGTTTGCAGTATATTAATATCTATTTATTTACTTTAATATTTTTAGTATTGTACTCTATGAACAAGTTTTTCAAATGGGAGAATGAAATGAAATGATTGAGGATTCTATGTTAGGACAGTCCTCATTTTAAATTGGGTTTCTTTCGAAAAATCAATAAAACTATCAAACATTTGTTTTGGTTTGGCCGTGTGACAATACATCGTGTCAAAATGGAGGATTTTGTGTTGATGACATCGACAGCTATATTATTCAGACAATATAGGACAATTAATTCTTCTTAGATATCAAGATTAGTCGACCGGAAATTTTTCACTTTGTCTAGTCTCTCTCTGACACTCACCTCATCAGAAGTATAATTACTCTTTTCAAGTAGTTTAGTAGTTTATGCCCATTAAAAAAGCCACCATTTTTAGAGTCTTCAAATTTTGGCCTGATCAAAATTATACATCCTTTTTCTTGCAGATAATGAGGCGCCAATAATCACATTTTGCCCATTAGATGCATATCTTTTGGCAAACAAGACAAACAATGCCGCTGTTGCAATCTGGAATCCTCCTGCTGCAACAGATAACTCAGGTGTGCCTCCATATATTACAACAAATATTCAGCGAGGGGATTTGTTAGCAATTGGAAACCACCTTGTATCAGTCACTGTTAAGGACAGTTCAGGAAACATCAACAGCTCATGTTCTTTCAACCTAAAAGTCATAGGTAATGCGTCACTTTTAAATTTTAAAAATGCATTACATAATTCTTCATGTTTGTGGTCACAAATTATCGCTTGAGGATCTACATCTTCAATAAATTCTAACTTAATGATATGTTACTTATGCTTATTGTTGTTTAAGCGTATGGTTTGTAGAACCCGGCCATGTAAGAAATGAGACATGAAATATAATAAGGTGTTTTTAATTGTTTGTAAAAATTTCTATTCAAAACGCTCTGTTGCATTCTTCACCATCAGCGTTGTTTAAGCCTGCACTTTTCATTTTATAGCAGAGAATACACTTTGTGTCCCCTCCCACCCCTAACCCATGACCAAATGCATTATGTTCTGGGTTTGCTTTTAAAATGCATGGAATCTTACGAATCCCTGGGTAAATTTGACTGGACATCGGCACTCGTTTGTATTAGGTTGTAATATGGATAATTAGAAATACAATACGAGAGTATAATACCATTAATTTAAAAAACAATGTCGTTCAAATTACAAACTCACATTATAGTGGTTTTTTTCTGAAAGCTGTATACTGTTCAGTCACTTTGTCAACTTTCTTGTTTAAAATTTCCACAATAGCAGTCTAATTATTATAACATCAGTAAAGTCACATGTAAAATAACTATGTATTACAACAACATTTTAAAACAAGTGCTTGTTTACATTATTTTTTCAAATAAATTTGTCATTTACTTTTAAATGTAATACAGGTGACGTTAATGCATCATCATCAGTACCTGACTACCTGATAGCTGTGTATATTCTCTGTGTCTTCATTTTCATGATGTCACCGTTATTTATCTTCCTCTGCAGGTAGACCCTACTCTATAATAATAATAATAATAATAATAATAATAATAATAATAATAATAATAATAATAATAATAATAATAATAATAAAAATAATAAAAATAAAAATAAAAATAAAAATAAAAAATAAATAAATAATAATAATAATAAAATTTAATGGTTACAATATGCTTTATTAAATGATTAGTTTATATTCTAATCTGCCAGTATCCTACTCACAAGAACAATATACATTTATTGGTATTTGTTTGGAGTATAAACAAATATGTATAAACCTTACCTTTTTTAATAAATTTATATCTTGAGAGTCGCCCATGATCACTGGCACCTTTCGGGGTAGTACACTGTGAGGGGTATCTGATGGTGCACTGCATTATTACTGTTGCATGATGCTCATTGGGGCATTTTCTCTTCCGTTAGGTGCCGGGGGTTCTGGGCGACCTGGTATTCTGTGTTTGTATGTTTTGTATATTTGGTGTTTTGTATACCTTTGATGCCTATGTTAACAAAATGTAATATGTAAATTGTTGTGAAAATTCTGAATAAATGTAATATATTTACTCATGTAATAACGCACATAATACCATAATTCATGACAAAAACTTATGCATGAAGGATGCACTAGAAGTAAAAAAAAGACATAGGAAACTGTGACTATTGAAGTATTATTGAGAAGGAGATCACTCGGCAACAATTCCCTTTGACGCGACAAACCGATGTGTTCCCCGCCTTTGGATCGTGCGCGGGCATATTACCTTATTAACATTTTTTCTTTTGCAACAGCTTGGCAATGACATGGCTTAATACGCTTCAACATAGCAGTTGGGCGATAAACCATTTGATTTTAACTCATTAAACATCTTTAAAATTAAATTTTTTCGGACTTTTAGTGTGTTATTATGTGCATATTTGACTAACAGATTTCACAAAACATTTCTGTTGTAATTACTTCTGTGTTCATTATAATTATATTTGTATAAAAATTGACTGGTTTGACTAAAATGCTTAGGCAGCGTGAAAATGAAAAATACTCTGATTTTGGAATGATTTTTCAAATAGTTAACCCTATTATAATCCTCAATCGTTTATTAATACATATCCGTTAAAATTAGAATTAGCGAATTTTGTCCAATTTATGAAAATTGAAGTTGAAATATACTATACTTTTAAAGGTCATGTAAATGTTCCATTCAATTTGAAACTTTTTTGGTTGAAAATATTAATATGTTTCATATTTTATGAGAGATAAATGTATCATCTTCAAAATGGAAATGATTGCGCCATGTTCAATTTTGGTATAAACTATGCCTGCTGAAATTTGATGGCGGGGAAGACATCAGACTTCCAAGCCATCGCGCAAACGCTCTTCACGCGCTGCGGTAGCTTTGATCTGTACATAGTGCTGCGTGCATGTAGATCGTGCAAGAGTGAATCTCTTTCTCAATAATACCTCCATGCTGTTACTAACTTTAGATAATATTTATTCACGAGATTTTGCTGGTAATGCATTTTAACTTCATTGGGCGACACACCTTTATTGTAAAAAAAATTACTCTGAGTTTCACGCTTTATGGCGTCGATCAACAACCAGGCCATTTAAACCAATATTTCTTGTATAGAATTTGAACAACCAAAGATTCTATGTATAAAAGACATCAATATTCTCTCCATCATTATATGAAGACAAGTTAGGATTCCCGTAGAAATAATTTGTTAATCACGATTCAGTATATGTAAAATGAAATATAATACCGTATTGTGGAATGCTATATAAATAGTTATAAGTTTTAAACTTATAAATTTAATTTGCAGGAGTAAAAATATCTAAGCTCTGTTGACATGAAATGACTTGTTTTTTGTTTTTTTAATTTAGATCACATTTTGTTAATATCAGAACGGAAGCACCAACGGAAATGAATGATTATGTAACACCAATAAATGTACCAACCTATTTGTCAACTATTATCAAACAATCTAACAGTATGGACTTGCACAGGAGTGATAATACCCCTCATGATTATGTTGAAATGCCAAATGGTGATACAGGATATGAAGTACCTCTGGCAACCAGCGGTATAAGCAATGATGTTGCACCACAATCTATGGAAACACAGTTGGGAAATAAT